CAGACTGCTCTTTGACAGATGATATCAACGTGCATTTCTGCTCAAAAAGTCAAAACATTTGCTTGACGGATTTCGGCGATGAACAAGTAATCAGTCCATGAATGACTTAGACGAAACCTGGCCTTTTTCACGCAGACCGGTTTACATGCGTTTTGCAGATCTATTATTATTTATATATTATTTGTCCTTGGGTTCCTAATGGAACATTGGGCTTCAGTAGCACCTCTCCAATGCACTCTGTTCTCTGAAATCTGTTCAACCTGGCTCCACGACAGCCCACAAGCTCTAATTTACTCCCTGCACGATCTCCTCCACGTCACCCTCACTTTGGGCGCCCAATTCGTCGCTTCCCATCGGCGTTCCACTCAACAGCCTGACGCGTGATGTCCCCATCTCCACTTCCTTCCAGTGCATATTTGTTCAGCGATAGCTTCTTGGTTGGTTCGTTGCCTGGCCAGAGTTCTTTGTTGCTTATTCTTCTTATTCTGGCCATCTGATCTTCAGTAACGAGCCAGCGTAGGCAGTTGTTGATGAATGTCTGTAGTTTGTTGGAAATCAATTTCGTAACGCGCCAAGTCTCTGAACCATACAGGAGCACTGAATTGACGTTGGTGTTGAAAATTCGGATCTTGTTCCACATGCTGAGTGCAGAAGGTCTCCAAACTGGTTTCAGGCTAATCAAGGCCTGTCTTGCTTTTCCAATCCTGACTTTGACGTCCTCGTGTGTGCAGCCTGTAGTTGAAACAGTGTTGCCTGGATAGGTGAAGGAGGCTACTTCCTTTAAGTTTATCCCGTTCATGGTGATTGCAGCTTGTTGTTGTTGGTGGTGGTGGGGTATCCTCATCACCTCCGCATTCTCTATATTCACTTGAAGTCCCGTCTTCGCTGCCTCGCCTCCTAGGTCAACTTGTTAGTTTTCACCTGTAGATCTTCAAAATTGTGTGACATCAGGCACAAGTCATCGGTGGCGAAATCCAGATCTTCTAGGTTCTTATCCCCGGTCAAGCCAGCGTATCCCCCTCTTCTCACAGCTCCCTACTGTTTGCTGCATGATCCAGTCCAGTCGACCACAATCAGGAATATCATGGGGGATAGTAGGCAACCTTGTTTCACTCCTGTCTTCATTTCAAAAGCATCACTGAGCTTCCCATTGTGAATTACTTGGCATGTGGCGCCTTTATATAGTTGTTGAATGAGGCTGATAAAGGTTTACGGTATTCCGTAGTATTGAAGCAGTTTCCAAATTACCTCTCGGTCGACGCTGTCAAAGGCCTTCTCAAAGTCGATAAAGTTGAGGTGGAGAGTTGACTGCCATTCTATACTCTGTTCTATGATGTTGCAAAGCGATAAAATTTGGTCCGCACATGATTTGTACTTCCCGAAACCTGCCTGTTCCGGTCGTAGTTTTGAATCCAGTGCATCCTTTAGTCTCTACAGGATGATGCTGCTCAATATTTTGCTTGCTTCGGGTGGACAGGAGTGTGACTCCACGCCAGTTCTTGCAAACACTGACGTCTCCCTTCTTCGGGAGTTTGACAAGATAGGCCTTCTACCAATCGACAGGCAGGTACCTTCTCTTCCTTCCACAACTTCTGCAATAGTGGTGTGGTGTGAGCATGTCTGCTGTTGTCTCTGCGTCTGTTCTCAGTGCTTCTGGCGGAATCCCATCTCGTCCTGCTGCTTTCCCGCATTTCAGTAGCTTTATGGCGTTCAAGACTTCCACTTTTGTTGGAGGATTTATGTTCACTTATAGTTCACCGGACGAAGTACAGGTGGTGGTCGATTCAAGAGCTTTTCGAAGTGGTCAGCACACCGTTTTCTTTGTTTCTCTTCTTTGATAGTTAACTTCCCTCCATCATCTTTTATTGGTTTCATCTGCGTTGATCACTTCCCTCCCAGATAGCAACCTGGTTATTTGATACAATGTTGTCAGGTCTCTACCTCTCCTACCTGCAGCCTGTTCTCCTTCACTTGCCAGTGTTTCGTAGAAGTGTCTTTTGTCTTTCCGTGCACTCTTCTTCACTTAACTGTCCAGTGTAGTGTTTTATACAGTGTACTCAGTTCCTCTTGTCGTTGAGCATCCTTGCACTGCACTGGTTTATCTTCTGCCTCACCATCCTCCTCTCCCTGATCTATCAGCTTCCATGTGTCCATTGAGATCCATTCCTTATCTTCTTTCTTCTTCCTTCCTAATACGGTTATGCAGGTTTCTTTCCACATCTTTCAAAGACTTCCAGTGTTCTTCCACAAAGGTTTCTTCTGGGATAATACTCGATATCTCCCACTTTGTCTTGATGGCTGACTGACGTCAAGATGTCCTTTGTAGTCTCGTCCGTCAGTTTCTGGGTGTTGAACTTCAACCGTCGCCTATCACCAGCTTCCTTGAAGGCTTTCAACTTGATTTGGAAGGTTCCTTGCACTAGACAGTGAGTGGTGTGAACCTACATCTGCTCCTCTTCTTCACCTTGTGTCAAGTAGTTTGCGTCTACACTTTCTTCAGATTGAGATAAAGTCGATCTGATTTCTACTGTGTCCATCTGGTGTCTGGTGAAATCCATATCGCTTTGTGGATATCCTTGTGCTTGAACACACTACCGCCTCCAATCACCAAATCATTGAATGCACAGAGTTCTGCAAATAATTCTCCATTCTCGTTCGTCACATCACCGAGCGCTTTTCAACCCATGGTTGGTTCTCTTCCTGTGTTGTCTGTCCCCAGTTTCGCATTCATGTCGCCCATTAGAATTTTGATATCGTCAACTGGAGTCTTGTCCAGTGTTGATTGAAGTTGTCTGTAAAACTCCTTCTTCTGCTTCTCTTCATCTGCATTATTTGTAGGTGCGTAACATTGTATGATTGTGACCTTCCTTCCTTTTGAGTTGAACTTGGCTGTTATGATCCTGATCCTGGAGGAGGAGATTGGTTCTCACTCCATGAGGGACAGCCTTCGATGCTCTTCGAGGGGACATCATGATAGCCACTCAATAACTCAGTGTGCTCGTGATTGTCGTCTGGATGACAATATCGGAGTAGATTATTGATTCTCCAGTTGACAATTTGGAGAGTCCACTCCCATTCCATCTGCTTTCGCAAATTCCAAGCACTTCAATGTGATACCTCTTCATCTCGCTTGCAATCTGGGCTGCCTTGCTGGGTTCAAACATCGTGCAGACATTCCATGTCCACACGTTTACTTTCGCTTTCACACGAGAGAAGACACATCGACCAATTGGCTTCTCGAAGGCTTTCACCAACTGGCATCATTTCGCCTCTCCGATTCCAGAGAGGAATAATTTTGTTATTATTTTTTATATTTTGTTTGTGCTTTGAAGTTTCTTTGGTGGTTAGATTTGTTTTACGGGGTAGGGTTGCTAGCCCTATGCCGAACCTTCCCTTTTATGTGGGCTTAGGACCGGCTAGTAACTAGTGAACTAGTTAACCAGGCGAGGTTATTGCAGATCTGGTAGAGTATAATTTTGGCCAATTTTTTAGATGCTGTTGGTAGTAGACTGGTATCCCGAGAACTGTCTGATACACTGAGTAGACCCATCTCTAAGATGAGTCAAACAACCACCTCACTCCAGATTGATAGAACGTTCAGTTTATCACACCTCAAATCACCTATTCGTCTCCACCCTAAAAAAGAGTAGGGAATAGGTCTATTAGGCTGGTTATCTTATGGGGATAAGTATTTAGAGTCGATTACAGACATCCGATTCCTAAGGAAGTTTTGTTCCAAACAACCATGGGGTACAAAAGAGTGAATTCGATGTTGCTGGAGCAGTGCGACAGTTATACAGCATTTCAAAGTGCTCTGGATAGAGTTCCACAGGGTTTACGAAACTTGGTGACAGTGCACCACCTAATTGAAAGAGTCTCAAAAAGATTAAGTGAAAGGATCTACCATGGAGTGTAATATCTAGGTTACAATCTAAGCGATAAATGGTGACAGTTCAATGTGTCGTCACTGCTGCTATTTTTCAGAGTCAAATCAAGCATCAAGTTGATTGTCGACAATGAACAACTGAACAAGAGGATATCATCCTTTAAAAGATATTTGAAGGGAAAGACTTTCAAAACCAAACAAGGACTTTTACACTTTAAAGCAAGATGGATGGCTGATGTAGAAAACTTTAAGTTTATGCCAGAAACCATAGCGAAAACTGCCTGAGGTGGAAGGGAAGAAGTTTCAAA